ACAAAGCTTCATGTAGCTATCTCTCAGTTTACTAGACAAAGCTTCATGTAGCTATCTCTCAGTTTACTAGACAAAGCTTCATGTAGCTATCTCTCAGTTTACTAGACAAAGCTTCATGTATCTATCTCTCAGTTTACTAGACAAAGCTTCAAGTAGCTATCTCTCAGTTTACTAGAAGTCAAAAATCTTTCTCCTTTCTGTCTAGGTCTCTTTATGTGTGTGTGCATGCAAATGTGTATGTGTGTGAGCACTATGTGATACACTATCAGAAAGGGGCTGAAAATAGAATTTAATAACTATCCTAGACCTACAACATTTAATATGGACAATACATGGTATACATTTACTTGTGTTTCATTCATTATGGAGTGACAAGAACTGTTTACAACTTTATGCGACTGTGCAGTCGATATCATGTTTGTTTTACATACATGTATATGTGTTGAGTTTATTACACAGGTTAAATTGGTTTTCTGTGTTTTTGTCGTTTTTCTGGTTCTATTTTACCAGTTCGGAAACACTCTCTTTGAACATCTCATGTGACCCCTAGTACCAACAGAGAAGAGAACAGAATTGTTAAATTAAATGAGACTTACCTGTAAGTTGAAAATTGATGTCAATTCTGTTCTCTCCTCTGCAGGTACATAGGGGTTACATGAGATGCGTGCGCATGCGTACAGTCATAATTCAAAGAAGTGAAGAAAAGCAAAAGGTTGACGCCGGATGCTTGACCAAAGACGACAGACGTCGGGTGCCGCACCACAGCATTGATTACCATCATTCAGTATCATGGGTTCAACTGGTAATTCTTAATGAATTTATGTTGTAAAATAAAAACACATGCTGTACTTGCAGACCATTCATGAACCATGTACCCTAGTAGACCTTGTCTTATCTATGATAAACAGCTCACAACAGTAGAAGCCATGCACATAAAGTTGCAGCCAACTAAATATAACATCTTTTTATGTCTCTAGAGAGACATGTATGTCTGACATATAGATGGGGCATACCAGCATAGCATACATGAAAATCGGCTACTTCATAGACAAAAATCTAGTGTATATGTAATGTTCAATCATCTCATTCAACAGGAATTACTAATAAAGGATAGTAGCATGTTTTATTACTAAGGCACATAAAAAAGCTACCAATTGGATTGAACACACTGGTAATGGTATTAAGGTACAGTAAGACTTATACAGGATTATTTTCACAGCTGTGTCATATTTGTTATGCATGTTAAACCGCATAAGTTGTATTTTTTTCCACATAAATGCAAATGTATGACTGCATGAAATCAAATCTGTATACATTGTCTACAGATCACTTGTAAGGACCTAGGTGAGCTTTATGTTTATATTGTGACCAGTAAGTATACCTGTTATTACACATATCAGTATCACAATAAGGGTACACAAATTACTTTAACAATACATACAGGGCAGCAGGGTCAAGCTCAGGATGCAACACAACAAATATACATGTATGTATACTTTTCAATGACAAGTCAAGAGCACACAGTTCATCATTCACAAACACATAATGACGAAAGCTTAAGAAACAACACACAAGTTGTTACTGCATGGACATCAACTATTTTTCAAAGTTTATTCATGACTCTCCAACAAATTGTAATTCAGCAATCCATAAGCCTGGTAACATGTTATACCAGTGTAATACTGGCTGTATACAAGTCAAATCTTAGTCACACATGCTCATCTGACAGGTCAAGGCCATTCATTCTCAAGGTCACTCACACTTTTTCTTCTTCCGTCGGCTGCCATACTGGCCTACAGGGACCATCAAACAGATTATATAAATCAGTGATATGTACAGAAGACACGGATGGTGACCATGAACAACAATAATACTTCTACAACTTCTACAGTTTCAAAAGAATGATGGATAATACAGGACAGAATCACTAACAAGTAGGAATGACATTTTGTGCTGTTTCTCCTCAGACACCAATCCTTTGTTAAACAACTAGGAAATATCTTTGTTACTCCGTGGATTCAGATAAACTCATCAAACAAATTCAATGACTATGAAAATATGATTCATATTCAGGTCAGGTCAATGACTATTTGTATACTTTTTTTAATACTGTGTACATCTAAAATTTAAAAAAAAACAACAACATTACCCTGAGTAGTCAGATGACTTTTTCAAACATTACCCTGTGTAGATAGATGACTTTTTCAAACATTACCCTGTGTAGATAGATGACTTTTTCAAACATTACAATGAGTAGTCAGATGACTTTATCAAACATTACCCTGTTTAGATAGATGACTTTTTCAAACGNGTAGTCAGATGACTTTTTCAAACATTACCCTGAGTAGTCAGATGACTTTTTCAAACATGTCCCTGCAGTAGTCAGATGACTTTTTCAAACATTACCCTGAGTAGTCAGATGACTTTTTCAAACATTACCCTGTGTAGATAGATGACTTTTTCAGACATTACAATGAGTAGTCAGATGACTTTATCAAACATTGACCTGAGTAGTCAGATGACTGTTTGAAACATTACCCTGAGTAGTCAGAGGACTTTTTCAAACATTACCCTGAGTAGTCAGATGACTTTATCAAACATTGACCTGAGTAGTCAGATGACTGTTTCAAACATTACCCTGAGTAGTCAGAGGACTTTTTCAAACATTACCCTGTGTAAATAGATGACTTTTTAAAACATTACCCTGTGTAGATAGAG